TTTCTTTTCTTTTCTCACTGCAAAACAGACTTTAGAAACTTTGTACATCATTTTTCCTCTTCACTCTCAGTATCTTCATTCATTAGAAAGTGTTACTCTTATTCTTCCTTCATTTTATTTTTGTCTTCCTCTTTTCTTGTCTTTTCCTTTTTTTTTTTTTTTGTTCTTTCTCCTTTTCTTCCTTCTCCTATTCCTTCTTATTCCTATTATTTCTTGACTGGGTTTTTGGATTTCAAGGTTAGACAGTAAGTAGACCCTCACAGAGAGCTGTAACTAGGGAAAGGTTAACTGGGACTTTGCCTCTGGGTGCAACTTAGAATTTAGAGGGAGCATTTGCAGTCTTTCAGCAATTCGAAAACAAAGGAGTTAAGCACATAGGTACCAAGAAGAATTAGTTCAAATAGAAAGCTAGATGGCGCACTTCCTTTCCTTGGTTTCCTTGGTTTACTCTCCTTTAGCAGCTTCCTCAGCAATGTTACAAGGTATTCATCATACCCCTCCTACCCTCTCCTCACATCATGGCATACCTAGGAATATCACCAGGTTTCTACTTCCATACCATATCTTCCCAATTATGTCCCAGGATTCTTATCTATTCCCAATTAAATAAAGGGTACCATTTTGGTTGGTTAGTCTTGGGTGCAAAAAACTGCTAAGTATGGTATGATTTCAAATATTGCCATCTCAATGGATAGAAAAAGAAAATAACATTGAATTATGAGAACATAATAATAAATGACTGGTAATTATGTCAAATATCATATATTTCAATTGTCTTGAATTCCCTATATTTACATTTGGATTTACAGGAATGATTTACAGCGTATATAAAATAGCAGACAAAAAGAAATATAAAATGATCTTTAGGGTGTGTGTAAAAAGTATTGCATCCAGGATGAGGGAGATCATTTTTTGAGGTATTCTGTCCTAGTTAGACTACATTAGGTTTTTTGTGTTCATCTCTGGGTGCCACATTTCAGGAAAGAGTTTGACAAGCTAGAGTCCCTATGGAAGAAGGTCACCACTAGAATGAGGAAAATGAAGGCAAAGATTGATTGACAGAACTAGGACTGTTTAGTTAAAAAAGAAAAGCCTTAGAGGGGGTGCTTGATAGCTGTCTTCAAGTATTTAAAGGATTGCTAAATGTAAGAGGGGTTAGACTTGATCCTCTTGGGTCTTTAAGGCATAAATAGAATGGATATAAGGAAGTTGCAGAAAGACATTTTATTTCTCTGTAAGGAAAACCTTCCTTCACAAAATAGAGTTGTCTTAGTGGAATGAGCTGCTTTATAGGATAATGAGTTCCTCATTCCTGAAAAGCTTCAGGCAGAGGTCAGATGATTCCTTCCTCATGGAAGTTCTGAAAGAGATTCCCATTCAGGTACAGGCTAAGCTAGCTAAACTCTAAAGTCCCCTCCAGCTCTAAGAATATGAGATTCTTTGAATATCCAAGATATTATTCATGAAGAAGTATTTAACTACTGTTTTCAAGAATAAGAAGAAAGAAAAGTTTCTCAAGAATATCTTGCTTATAACAACCCCAGCTTGGGTTACCAATAAATTAAAGTGCTGCAATTATATAATGCTGAATTGAAAAGAAGTATAGTTCTTAATATGTTTCAGTGACCACCAGGAGGAAGTGTTACTCTTTGACATCATGGGAGCAAAATGCCTTATATACCATAAGGATAAGACATAACTGAGGTAACTAAGCAGTGTAGTGGACAGAGCACCAGCTCTGGAGTCAGGAGGACTTGAGTACAAATTTGGCCTCAGATACTTACTAGCTGTGTGACCTTGGTCAAGTCACTTAACCCCAATTGCCTCCCCACCAAAAAATATAAATAAACCAGCCTTCTAAAACAGATACAACTATAACCAAAAAATTTGATCTTTTAAGCAACGGGTTCAACTTTAGCCAAAAGATAGATTTAAACTTACACTTTGATAACATTCTAACTGTGCCCATGTAGGGTAGCAGAGCAGGGATTAATCTGTAAAATCAGAGCATCATAAATTGGAGCTGAAAGGATGTTAAAAGTCTTATAGTCCCAAAGAATCACAAAGGATCACAGATATGGAACTGGAAGAAAACTCATAGGCAAGTTAGCTATTCCCACCACTTCATTTCACAGGGACCTAAAAATATTCTCCCGGAAAAGCCAAATACTTACATTTATAGTTTCTCTAAAGTATTTAGGAGGCCAGGTGTCTTCCATAGTTTGGCATTTTTGGATGACAGAGCTAATCCAAGAGAATGTGAGTTTAAATTTAGGGAATTTAAATTTGTATCATCCAGGCAAAGAAACCTGGTTAAATTTATAGTGAAATGAAAATGATTTATCAGAAAAAGGATTAGGTATACCAACTGAGTCTAGGAGTTCTAAGCACAAGGAAATATGTGGGAAGTTATTACATAGACAGGTTTAATGGATACAATGGAACAAGCAAGCAACAATCATAGACTGCCTCCCAAACTAAATAAATAATTATAACTATTCCAGCTCACCATTGAGTTTGTTGAGACAAGTGAATTCCTTTGTTCTTTTAATAATTGTCACTAGTCTGTGAATTTTGTGGCCTGTGCCACATACAAATCAGATCCAGTTGTTGGCCAACAGCAAAAGCAAAATGGAACCCCAAGCCTTTTGAATTAGCAGTTCTAGCTCTATTTGCTAGTATATAATCCTTATTAACTCCATTTGGCTTTACGTTACTGATTGCCATAAAATACTTTCATAGCAACTCTTCTCCCTCTGGTTTCATTTTCTGATGTAGTACATAGTGAAGATAAGGAATTTCCTGAAATTATCAGGAAAATCTAATGGTATCATTAAAGGACATGGTTACTCCTGGAAGGGATCAGTCTGCTTCAGAGTATATGTCATGGAATCTTTCTTAAAGAAATATTAACACCTAATCATAACCATAATTTAGGAAAAATTTATAAATTATAACATTTATCCAAGTACTATTAACATACTTTCAGATTTGTTTCTGTGATTGGGGAGAAAACAGGGAGTCGTCCAGACCTTTCATTTCATTTCTTAAAGAATTACCTGGGGTTACTAAGAGGTTAAGTGATTTACCCAAGGTTGTACAACCAATATGTATCAGAGATAGGACTTGAACTCAGTTCTTCTTGACTCTTGGGTCAGCTGTCTATCCACTATGCTAAACTGTCTCTCAAATTTGCCTTCTACTAAAGAAAAGCAACTAATAAGACTTTAGTATGGGCATCATGATGAATGAAGAAATAATATGGACCCATGAAGAAAAGTCAATTATCCACTATCAACAAGGAAAAAACTCTTCCTTAAAATAAATTAAATTTTCATTATCAGTTATTTTTAACAAAATCACACAACAGGGTCTAAATATGTCAGGATCTCATTTTTAAGTGGTAGAAGAAGGCATGATTGGGGACTGTGTAGTTGGTTGACAAGGGGCTAAGTGAGAGGCCTGAGAAGGATGCATTAGCAGCACTAAGCACCTTTCTGTCTAAAGTCCTACCATTTATGTTAACCATGGAACTGGATGTCCAGTCTATTCTGTGGACTGTTATTTGTCTCTTTGCCACAAAGATCACGTTACTTATACTCATGGAATAAGCTGTTTCTACTGATAATTTTTATATCTATGCCATAAACCTCAAATGACTCTTTGTACCCCATGTGATAAGTATTGGCTTCTGATGGAGCTATAATATTTGCTTAAAGTACATTTTTCTGCCCCTTTAATGCACATATTACATTTACCAGTTGTCTTAAGTGGCATACTATCATACTGTTCAGTATCAAGTGGGTGGGCTTGATAGCCTATTGGGATTCACTATTAAACATCACATTCAGCCTCAGGCCAATTCACTCTTGCTTCTTTGAATGTCATGGAGTAAATGTAGTGAGCTAAATATGTCTCACCTTAGCTGGATGCCTTTGATTTGATTTTTATCCTTTGTTCTCGAAGAGGACTCTACAGTGTGTCTGACTGTCTGATCAAACCAATACCAGAATGTTCTACCACAGGTTGGGCACAAATAGTTCTTGTGAACATTTGGGGTGGATTCCTTAATTTGCACATCTCATGTTTCTTCTGAGCTACTCCAACTCTGCTTTGCTCATAGACATGACATAGACATAAAAATACTTTGTACCTTCTCTGATGTGGGCACACCATGCTGAGTGGTCCTATGCCAATGTCTCCCATGTCACACAATCAATTCCAAAGTTCTTAAGAGAAAACTTGAGTGTCCTTGTATCGCACCTTCTGATCACCATGTGAATGCTTGCCCTGTGTGAGTTCTCCATAAAATAGTCTCTTTGGCAAGCATACTTTTTGCATTCAAGCAATGTGGCCAACCTAACAGATTTGTGCTCTCTGAAGTGGAGTTTGATGCTTGGCAGGTTAGTTCGAGAAAGGACCTCAGTGCCTGGTATCTTGTCCTGCCAGGTGGTCTTCAGAATCTTCCTAAGACAATTCAAATGGAAGGGATTCAGTTTCCTGGCATGGTCTAAATACCACCCACACTCCTAAGCAACCATGTTTCTTTCTAATTAAAATGTTTTAATACTTTTCAAGTACTATATGTAATTTAAAAATGAAGGGAAAATCAAGTTTCTTCTAAAACACCAAATTACAGCAAGGTATGACTTGATGTCTGTCTATTTAGTACCAATTTTGACAGTTTTTTGGCATAGTTCATTAGCCAATTTATTTACTATTGATTGACTGAAGGCTTATTTGTAATGTTGGAGCCAATCCGTAAAAAATTTTTAATTCTCACCTATGTACAATTTCTCTCTGACTGGATTTTCTAAATATTTATAATATGAAATTATTCATAAAACCTGTCTTTTGTAGTCACATATATAAATTTCTACCACAGGAAATCATTAATAACCAGTTATTAGAATAAGAATGTCATTATGAAACTTAACCAGTAACTATAATATGTCTCTTGATGGACAATATTTCTATAGCCAATTTTCTTCTCTCACCAGGTTCAGAATATGTCCCAGTCCATTGAAGTCTTAAACTTACGGACTCAGAGGGATTTCCAATATGTTTTAAAAATGGAAACCCAAATGAAAGGACTGAAGGCCAAGTTTCGGCAGATTGAAGATGACCGGAAGACGTTAATGACCAAGCATTTTCAAGTAGGTTTTACTTCCGTAGTCTTTGGGAAAAGCAAGTGGGAGCAAAGCACTGAACCATGATGTATTAATTGCATATATCTCCACTAGAAATAAGTGCTCATACAATGGTAAAGACTCATTTGGGAAAATATTCACTTAACCACTAAGAGTGACCATTAGTTGTAAGATGATGGAGAAGGTTCTCTATAAATAGAACCATTATGGAAATGTGGAGAATACATCATGATTTAAATGTATTTCAGTATATGAGGTGATAACATATTTTTCTTACTAACTGCCAGCTTTTTTATTTCTGCATATGGTTCGACCATTCTCTAAAAGACCTAAATTCCTAACCACAGAGGCATCTTTGACCTTTTCTTCTCTCTCTCATCATGCCCACAGTCCAATCAGTTACCAAATTTTATCTCACATATCTATCTCTTCCTTTCTGGTGACTCACCAATGTCTTAGACCAAGTTTCCTTTAACTTTTACCTAGACTCTAATGGCCTCCTAATTGGTCTCTTTGCCTCCAGTCTCTCCCCCTTCCCAATCTTTTCTTTACATACCTTTTTTTTTTTTCTAACTGAAAGGTGTGACCATGTCTCTCCCCTTTACTCAAAAGCTTTGGTTGGCTTCCTAATGCCTATAGAATAAAATAAAAAAAAAAATCTATAGCTGAATGCCTACAGATTTCCATAAGTCTGGTGGTAGCCTACATTAATTAAGTCTACCTTTATTTCATAACACTCCTCTTCATAGACATCACTATGCCAGCTGAACAGGACTATTGGCTGTTCTCTGATTTCATCTCTTCTCTGTTGAAATCTTCTTCCTTCAAGATTCCAGCTTATTTGCCACCTCTTTCCCACATCCCAGCTGAAAATCTCTCTCTCTCTCTCTCTCTCTCTCTCTCTCTCTCTCTCTCTCTC